AGCCGTACTTTGCCCAGCTGCTCAGCGACCTGTGCGTTTCGGTGACGACGCCAGACGGCGCGGTGGAGTTCACGCCAGAGGAGGGAGGGGCAACGGGGAGCAGCCTGATCCCGTGGGGGTTCGTCGCGACGTACTCTGCAGCCGTGGACGACGCTTTCGAGCACCTGAAGGAGGAGGGGGGGAGTTACAGGTGGCAGGAGACGACGATCCCAGGCGGGGGCGACACGGTCTATGACATCGGCGCGGCGGCGTTCGCGGACGACGTGGCCAGGATAACCCCCATCCCCAACTCCGCCACGGGGAACGACATCGTCTTGCGCCTCAGCCGCACCACGGCCACCATCAACAAGGAGATCAGCGCCCAGGGAGGAGGACTCAACGAGGACAAGACGGTGAGCACGTTGGGACTAAGAGGGCTAGGAGCACCGACAGCGACGCGGAAGGTGGCGAACTCAAAGGCGTTGAAGGGGGCCGTGGCCAGGAGTGCAAGACTACTAGGACCCATCGTGGCGGCCGGCTTGGCGGTGCACGACGAGATTTACCAAGAGAGGTTGGTACAACATGGGCTCCACTTGGTACCGCGAGGCCCCGCTGCGATGCGCCCGACTACAGTTCATTAGCTATGTGTACGGGGCGGCGCTGTCCGCGCTCCACGTATTGCTGCTCGCGCCCAGCCAGATCGGACGACTCGCCAAGGTGCTGGCGAAGCTGCTGCGATCGCTGCTGGGGGGCCGACGCACCCAGTGGAAGGGGGGCGGCAGCGCCAGGACACTGACGAACGAGCAGGTGTGGCAGTACTGGAAGTTGGCGAAGCCCGACCTGGAACTACGGGCACGTCGAATGCGACTATTCCAGCGGATGGCGAGGTTCCCAGAGGCGCATCACCAGGCGATCGCGGCGGTGTTTGGTCAGTGCAGATTGGAAGAGGAGATGGGCACTACCAGGCTCGGAGCAGACGGATGGTCGGTGCCTACGTCTACCCCGTGGCGTCTACAGTGGAGGCGGACTTGACCGAGATGGGGCGCGTCAGCGGCGACTGCCACGACATGTGGGGGAGCTTGCAGGAGGCACCTGGCGGCATGATGGGCCTGTTTTTCGAGGGCGAGGTCCACGATCAGTTCGTGGAGCTGGACTTGAGAGCCCTGCGCACGGCGGCCTTTGCCGCGCAGGTTCCCCCGCCCGAGTACTGGGGCGGGGGGGGCGCGAGCCTGGGTGCGGCAGCCCAGGAAGTACTGGAGCAGCCGCCCGAGGCGTACTGGTGCAACGAGGCAATCGACGGGTCGATGTGCGGAAAGTCCGTCTCTTCCTTTGCTGCGCTGCAAACTCGTCGTCGCGTCGTTCGCGGGTTCCAGCGCGAGTTGCGTCGACTGGTCGTGGCAAATCAGTTTCCGTGGTGTCTCAGCTGTTATCCGTCGAAGGAGGGGGCGATGCAACGTGTTTCGAGAGTGGCAGGAGGATGGGTGTCGAGAGGGGCGACGAGGAGGAGGATAATGGGTATGGTCGATCACTCCCCGTGGCACCGCGAGCCGATCGAGCCAGCGAGCTTGACATGTCCAGCGTGCGACCTGTCTTTCGTCCATTTGCTCGAGCTTCAAGTCCATATTCGTTCTCATCATGAGGGGCCCACTGGCCTTTCCTTTGGCGTTGCTAGCAGCGATGGCGACAGCAGCTGGCAAAGGCGCAGGCGGCGGACCCGCGCCGATCGTCTTCCTGAAGGGGGGCAGGCAGGAGGGCGCCCTCGCGAGCAGGAGGGCCAGGGCGCAGACCGTGGAGGCGGTGAGCGAGGCAGCGGCTCCCGACAACAAGGCGGCACGGTCGGCACTGGCAGCCGCCAGCAGCGCCCAGCAGGACAAGCAGGAGCAGTTCGACAAGGGGAGTCAGGGGTCAGCGCCGGAGCCGAAGCGGAAGCCCAAGAAGAATAAGAAACGCGAAGGCGATGTATGGTGGAGCTGGGCCGGCAGACGACAACTTCAGCGGGGCGCCCGACGGGGTGATGGTGCGGCTGCGGAAGGGGGTGCTGAACACGATGCAAGGAGAGAACCACTTTTTGAGAGAAAGAGAGAGAGGATGCAGAAGGGGGTGCAGAAGAGAGAGAGAGAGAGAGAGAGAGAGAGAGAAAGAGAGATAGAGAGAGAGAGAACCACTTTTTGAAATATAGCCGCCATTCATTATGTAAGCTCTTGTAATTCTTGACGCTTCGCGTGTCCCCACCAGCTATCTGACTCGTTTGGGTAGCTCTGAGACTTGTTTGTGCACTCGTCACGTGGTCTGTCGTTCATTGTGCACACCACGGCCCAACCCCTTGCTGGCTGGGCTTGCATCTCAGTTTGGTGGGTTCACCGTTCACATGTACCACCCTGGATGCGTTCTCTGACGCCGCGTCCCTTCTCGTCGTCAGGCTTTCCGCTGGACTTGATCTCATTGATTGGGTACTCTTGACATTTGGTCGACGTCCTCGGAATCGTTCCTACTTTCCGCTTGTATTGGTGGGAACGCTCGC